AGTTAACGTTAACATCTGAAACCAAACACAAACTAACTCAGACAGCAGCAGTAGTAACATCCTTTACGGATTGACGCCAAGCGTAATCACGAGCTCCATCTTTGTCGACAATCTTGATCACAAAGTTTGGTGGTGCAATGACCAGTCTTGATCGGATCTCAAGTATGCATTTGTCAACCAGCTCGATTGCTTCTTCCACAGACATGTCGCTGCGGTAATGCCTGTCCATTGTGGAGAGGGAAAAGTAGGAACCATAACCAAAAGCTCCCTTGTCAACTTTGTGAAGAGTTGCAATGTAGTCGATGTAGTAAAGAGATGCACCGCTCTCATTGTCGTAGCCAGCCATCAGGATATTCACCGAATATGGATTCTGCTCAAAAAGGAAAAAACAAGGAGACATCAATGATAAGTGGCCAATCATGAACATAACAAAACAAGGAAATCCAGAGCAAAGGCCATATGAGTTTATTGTATATAGCCCTCAAGACTGTATAATGATGGGATACCAATCCAAAAATGATAATACTTAGCCTGGAGTATCACATTTTATATATTCAAGTCATTTAAACCAGAAACCCTTGGAAGACAGCACAATCATTTCAACCTGGTAAAGTCTAACACAAATTCATACAAAGCTTGGACATGAGAAACTATTGGTTTCAACCTGAGTTTCATCTTTTCCACCAAAAGTGATGCATCAATATTCTAGGCAATAACAATATAAGGAAAATTCTGCAACTCTTGTAGTGATCATGTGGCTATAGACGACCATCTACCACGCTTTACACAACATTCAAGCACGGAACTGGATACTAAATTCCACAAAGTTAGGGATAGTCACACAACAATATCAACAGTGGAAACATAGGCATATCTTCTCCAATCAGATGTCCTAATTATTTCGAAGTCCTAATGAGGCAAACTTAACAAAACAATTCAAGCTTATAGTCATGAATCACAACAATACACAACACTGCCACATAGAAAAGGAAGTGAAACCTGAGAGGACCACAGGCTTAAGAAATAAAGACCCTTAGCTATCAGCAACCTTACTATTATCATAACCACAACATCACAGAGGAAAGCTTCAATTCAATTCACATAAGAACTTCAATCCAAAAACGATTCCGATGTAAAATAAATCCAAAGAAGACAATAAATCCACAAACTAAGAATTGCTTCACCATTCAATTATCTGCAGATTACTCCACTAACCACAAAAATTTCATACAAGCACATAAGGCAAAGATCAGAAACCCTAATCCATATATCCCCTGTAACTAAACTGCCCAAGACCCCAACCAAATAAACCAAATCCCCAAATTACAAACCCTAATAGTCAGAGCTAAGAAGAAAGAGCTCACCTTCCTCAACGCAGTGGCGAGCTCACCGCGAGTGAAATTAGCGGCGGCTGCGGTAGTCAAAGGGATTCCATTTCGGAATTTGTACAACGACACATTCTTCTGAACATACTCCGTAAACTGAACACTATCAACCCCACAATACGAAGACAGTCACAATTTACACATCTGTATAT